TAGGATCTGGCGCCCAAGGTCCCCAGGAGGGCAACTCTAAACTGGTAAATATGGTCACTGCCTGGGTGTGCCCCAGGACAGGTGGAAGCTGGAGGGACAAAGCCCTTCCCAAGGTTCTGCAGGAAGGCCAACCTGTTACAGAACTACAGACTGCCATGATGGAAGGGACCTTTGAGATCACAGTCAAGTTCAACCCTTGAACTTTATACATGAAAATGGAAGAAACAGATTTGTCCAAAGACCGCGTAGCTGCTCAGCTAGTAGGGTGAAGAAAAGATCTTACACATACACTCATCCTAACAGAAGGACAAGGTCAATCCTATCTTGCTTCTGGGAATGAAAGGTCACTGCCCATCCCCTAGCAACTAGGAAGTCCCATCTATTGCCTAATTTCCATCATCCTGCAACAGTGGGAACCTACTGTCCTAGGGTGATTCTTTGTTGAAAGCTCAGTCTTCCCTGACCCCAGCCCTCCCCCATCACACCATCTCCAATCCTATAATCATCTTTATGGTTGTGCCCCGAAAAGAACCAGCTCCATCCCTGAGATGAGGTCAGCCACTATTCCTTTGTCTGCAAACTCCTGCTTGGATATGGCACATCCTTGTTCAGGAACCCAACTAAAAATAAGCAGGCCCATGCACGTACACATTTCTACCTGTTCTTGAACTTGGGGACAGTGGAATCCGTCAACCTACATGGGTGCATGTATTCCCCTCCCTCCCCCCACCCCCAATAAGTTCCCAGTAAGCTTTCAGCCCTCGACAGAGGTGGGGTGGGGTGATCAAAATAAATATATCAAGATTACAAGGGCAAAGGTCAAGGTCTTCCAAGGGACACTGCCTGTCCTTGTTCTCCCATTTCCCTTCCTTAGGAAAACTAGAAAAAAAAAGGGAGGACTTTGAAATCCTCTAGCCTGTCCTTCAATTCCTAACTCAAAGTTGTGCCCCATATCAATACCAGAAAAAAACAAGTAAAGCAAGTATTCTTGCAGTCTCACCTATATCTCTCCCGCTGCAGTTGTGATCCACAGACTCAACAAGAGCATCCGCCTCGACCTAGTCAGCTCTGGACTCCCAGGCCAGAGCTCTAGCCACTGGACTCTTCCCTTCCCCCCCAGACACTGGGGGCTCCCTGGACTGCCACAGGCCGGGCCTAGTGAGTAAGCCACTAAGCCCTAGGAGGACTGACTCTGGCCTTGAGCAAAGTGGGGGCTTGTAAAAGCTACGGGCGATTACAGTGACGCGGAGGCTCCACCACAGGCCCTGAGCAGCCAGCTCCCAAGCCCCACAGCCATCACCATCCCCTCCCTCCTTTCCCTATAAAAGGGGGATAATAACTCAGGGCACTTTGCCAAAGAGTGTTTTGCCATTCTCTAGTCATAAAGCGCTTCAAGATCTCTTGACAGTCAGGAAGTAGCGAGAGAGCCCTAGCCCCTGGAATAGAGATCATAGATCAGCGGATCTGGCACTAGAAGGGAACCTGAGAGATCACCTGGCCTAACCTTATTCTACACATGAGCAAACAGAGAACCTCCAAAAAGGGAAGTGACTTGTCCAAGGTCACATAGGGAGCAGGTAGCAGAACTAAAATTTGAATCCAGATTTTCTAACACCAAATCCAGTATTCTTTCCATGATATCATGGGACCTCTTAAAAATGTGCTTGGAGATCACTGACAAGTCAGGAAGCACTCAAAGACAGAAGAAATGAAGGTCCCTCCAGAAGCCTCATCATTCTGCCCCACACTCATATCCCCCTCTTCCACATTTCCTTCTAAATATGGTTAGCTATCTCCAAGACAAAGCAGCAGGGCATTTGAGATGAATTGAGGGGAGATGATATGGTCTCTCCTGGCTAGTTACCCAGTCCAGGAAGAGGGCCTAGGAGCTGATTGGCCCTTGGTCTAGGAAGGCCTGAACAAAGCAATTGGGAGGGTCCAATCAGGAGCTCCAGTTTTGAATGTGTAGGGGAAGAGAGAATCTGAAGGCTCTGAAAAGGGTGGGCTCAGGTCATATTCTAGACTCTGAAGAGGGTTTCTCTGGGGGCTCACTGAGGTGTTTCTCGTCAGAGGGTAGAGTGAACAGGACTGACACTGCAGCAGGAGGGAAGAAGGTTAGACTTAAAGCAGACTTCCCAGTGGGCAAGAATAGGAAGAAGGCGATGACACAGAGGGTACCCTTTCCCCAGCAATGTGGGCCAAGGAAGGGCTGCCCTTCAAGAAGTCAGGGGGAGGGAGGAATTGACACAATGGTCTTACCCCCAAGTCCCTACTACCTCAGGAGGTCCCATACCCTCTCTGGGCAGCTGATCTCAAATCCCCTGGGGCTTAGGGCTCCAGAGGCCAGTGTGTCCTTGTCCTGGTGTCTCAGTATTGGCCAACACACCTGGGGGCTCTTACTACCAATCCTGCTCCTATTCCTCCCCCCTCACACTCAGGCAAGGCTTCTGGTAGATAAAAAAAAAAACACCAACCAAAAAACCCTGCAGGAGAGATTATATAACAGCAGCTGGGGAGACTACCGTACCTCCCTGCCTATGAGCTGCAAGAGGGGCTGAGCAGGGGAGTCTGGCCCATCATCTGTCCAACCCCAACTCCGAAGACAGGGAAGAAAGGGTAGTGCTGATAGCGTCAGGTACAGACTAGATAATATCCCTCAGGAGGAAACTGCTATTCAAGGGCTGTGGACACAGCATAGCTAGAGGTGAATTAGCTGAGGTCCATTCCAACCCACCTTCAGCTCTGCTCCCCCCCCCCAGTCCTCCCCACAAAGTCCTGATTTCTGGAGTTCTGTTGCCTGGATTGTCTGCCTTTGTCTCTGTATTTATGCCTGGGGGAGAGTTCCTCTTTTCCTACCCCCATAAAGGCAGGGACCTCATTTCCACCCCCTTCTAGCTCCCCCAGCATCCTCAGACATGGCTCTGCTAGAAGGACCAGATGGATAACAGTTCTGCCTTAGATCTTCAGTGTGACTTTGGGTCAAACACTAAACTATTCTGTGCTCCCAGTAAAGTGAAGAGACCATTAATGGTCCCTCCCAAGATAAGTCAGAAATTGTTACTCCTGTCTTCTCCCCTATCCTTTTCGGGAGGACAAACACACATCGACTAAATGGGATCATGGGTGTTCAGAACACCCAGGCCCACATGATTCCTATCCACACAGAGCAGGTCTGAGAAGGCCCTCAGATAACAACACCCTGATCCCAAGCCACCTCTCCACTTCCTGCCCCCAAACAGTTTTTTTTTCCCCAGGCTTAGAAGGCAAACAGGAAGGAAGTTCATTCCCGATTGGAATCATTGGGGCCTAGAGCAGCCTGTCCCTAGGGGTGGAGGGGGTAGAGAAGAGAGGAAGGAGGGTGTGTGTGTGGGGGGGGGGTCATCACAACCTTGCTCCCCTACCCCAGCCTCACAGTCTGCCCATCAACCACCAAGTTAGAACCTGGCTCCCCTTAGCAACAAGACTCATGACACATGCATAATCTCTGTATACAGCAGCATGTGCACCACCCTACCCCCCCCCCCAAAAAAAAGAAGAAAAAGGAAAATCTCTGAACACAGCTGGGGTAGTACAGGGAAAGGAAGGAGTAGATGGTTTCCTGAACTTCCAATTTCATTCCTCTCCAGTCTACCTTCCCCATAGCCAGCCTCCAGAGGCCCAAGGTCACTGCCCCAGAAGGTGAACTTCCCATCACTGCTAAGTCCTACAAGGTTCCACCCCCTTCCCGAGGGATACCACCACCACCCCAGAGAAGTTCCATCTCCTGCCCTCAGCATAACCCCCCCCAACTCAATGCTTTAGCTAGAAAGATCCAGGTAAGCCTACTACGTGAATCGAAAGAACCTGCAGAGAACTTAGGCAATGGTCCAGGTACCTATGTGTTGTTCCCCCACTCGCTTCACTGACCTGAAAGACCCCAAAGGCACTGAGAAGGAAGTACCAGGATAGGAGGATCCCTCCTTTCTCTTTCCCCTGGAGTTCCTAAAACAAGAAGCCTAAGGGGCCCCAAGAAGACCTCTTTTTTTGGCCCCCCCCTATCCCAGCTCTAATCACTATGGATGAGAGACAGAAGAGGGGGGCAGAGAGCTCTCTCCTGTAATGCCCCCCACTCCCCAGATGTTGTACAGATGCAAACTCTGGCTAGGAGTTAGTTGTCCACCCAAAGGTGGGGCTGTGGACAACTGGGATGGGGGTCTCCAAACAGGCTTCAACTGGAAGCTGGCACTGGGGTCAAGTCCGGGTCTGGGGAAAGAAGCTCAGGGTGGGAGGTCAGGTCCTGAAAGACAGACTCTCCTCCCCTCAGCTTGTTTGTCATCTCCAGCTCTCAGCTGTCACACAAGCCAAACTGGGCCCCAACACACAGAGACAGAGCAACCCACCCACCCAGCCCGGGTGTCATCTGAACAACATTCCCCCCCCCTCCCCCTTTCCCTCCCAAACAGCTGCAGCTCCCCCACCCCACCCCCATCCTCCAATCACCCTCCCAGGCCCCCTTCTGCACCATTTTGGGCCAAGGAGGAGGGAACAGGCGGCAGGGAAGGGAGGGCCGGCTGTTAAAATGTCAGTCGCTCCAGGCTGTCACCCTGGTACCCCCCCACCCTCGGGGTGGGGGTTGCTCTCCCTCCAGGCCCACAGCCTCAGGCCCTCCGACCCTCTCCCAAGCCAAGGTGCCAGCACCCACTGCACTCCGCCGGGACACCCCCTCCCTCCAGGAGTGTATGCCCCTTGGCGTCCCTGTAGCCCCCCCCACACACACCTGGTCAGCCTTTAACCCTCACGGCCGCCCCGCTTCTGGCTTCCCTACTCCCTCCCCCCACCCCCCGCCTGCTCCGCCGGTCCCTCCGGGACGCAGCCGGCCAACCTCATCCCACACGACAGGGGAATGGCCTGGGCGCCCCCCCCCACCCAGGACACCCCAATCCTGGGTGGGGGGAGGAGAGGGAAGGGAGGGGGAGGCGGGTCTCTTAAAGTGATAGGCGCGTTATTTCTTTTCTACTCACCAACCCTAGTTGGGGGAGGGGGGTGTCGCGGTAAGGGGGTGGGAGGAAGAGTGGTAGTCCTCTCTCCTCTCGGATCTCCAAGCGCAGGAAGGTGTTGGGTTTTTTCTTTTTAGGGGGGAGGGGATGTCGAAAAATAACTAACGAGACAGGCGTCTGCCCGGGCCCTGGGTGGAGCCGGGAGGTCCCGGGCCCCTGTCCTGGGGCCGGGGTAGAGGGGAGGGAGGGTTCGGGGCTGGGGCTCCCGAGCCGCCGCTGTTGTTGATATATTTTCTTCCTTCCTCCTTTTGGGCTCCAAAGGTAACTCCTCCGGTCCCTGGGAGCCGAGGCCAACGTAGGCACAGCTCAGCCTAGCTTGGGGGGGGGAAGGAGAGGAGGTGGCGGGGTGACGGGCAGCCGGGGGGGCCAATGGGAAGGCCCCATGGGGGCCGTGGGGCGGGGCCAGGGGAGGGGTGGGCCCGGGAGCTGGGGCCCGCCCCCTCCCTCCTCCGCCTCCTCCACCCCCCTCTCCTGCCCAGCACGGTTTCCTCCCTTCCCCTCCCCTCCCCGCCTGCGCGCCTGCCGCCCTCCCAGCTCCCTCCTCCCCACCCCAAGCTAGGCTGCAGAGCAGGCAGGAGCCACGGATCCCTCCGCCGCCGCTGCCAGGGCGTCGAGAGGGAGGGACGTGGAGAGATGAAGCCGGGCGGAGGTGCTATTAAAGGGACAGTAACCCACCCACTCCAACACACACACACGCACACACTTCCCACCTCCCCGCGCCCCGTGGGGAACACGGCACGCGGAGTTGATTGTCCGCGCTGCTCCCAGGGGCTGGGGCACACTGCCTGGGGTGGGCTGGTTTTGGTGCCATCCCCTTCCCTCGGAGAGGAGAGTTAGAGAAACTTGGGGAGGGGGGTCTTGAGGGGGCGGTATTTAAAGTGCCAGGCGCCTCCTTCCTGGGGTGCATGGGGTCTCCCACCCAGCCCTAGCCTCGATAAGGCTTGGAGGAAGGCAGCCCGGCTTAAAGGGGCAGGCTTTCTGTAGGAGGAAGGGGGCTGAGCGGCACCCCAGGCTACCTGTGACAGGCGGTCCAGCGCCCTTCCCCCGCCCGGCTCCGTAGACGCCTAGCAATTTAAAGCTACAGGCTCATAGTTCTTGGGTGACCTCATCCCGGGAGCCTGCAGCCTACGGAGCGCCGCCAAGGGGGCAATTTAAAGGGGCGGGAACCCTAATTTCCCCCAGCACAGGAAACACCCTTGAAAACATCTTATTAAAGGAGGACTGGCCCCTTTTGTTTTGATTTGTTTTAAATCCGGCTTCCCCAGTCAAGTCTTCCAGGGCTACCGAAGCAGGCATCAGCGTCCCGAATCCCCCTAAACTAACGGGGCTCCTCAGCCTCTCGGATGCCGTCCATCAGATCTAACTTTAAGGGAACAGATACCAAAGCACCACCCTGTAGAAAAAGAGTAACTGATAGAGGTTTAGGTCTCTACTCCTGACAAAGCTCTTTCCCGGCCCCTCCTTAATGCCTTGCTTCTGTGGATTATCTCTGTTTTATCCCATCAATATCTTGTTAGTTGTTTGCTTGTCTTCTCCTCCATTAGATTAAGAGCTCCTAGAGAACAGGGACTTTTTTTTTTAATCTTTTGTTTGTATCCCCAACCCCTAGGACAGTGCCTTCGGGCATATAGTAGGTTCTTGATAGGGCACTGTAGTAAGCGCTTAATAGGGCTTAGGGCACATAATAGACATAATAAATGCTTGTTAACTTGCCTTTACACTCATTATCTCTTTTGATCTTCACTACAACCTGGTGAAATAAGTATTAGAGATATTATTATCCCCTTTTTACAGATGAGGAAACCGAGGCACAAAAAGCTTAAGTCACTTGTCCAGGGTCACACATCTGTAAGTGGCAGAACTGAAACTAAACAATGGGATCTTTCAGCCCTGGTTTCTTCTGATTGGGCCTAAAGATCATTTCTCCATTTCTTGGAGAAGAACTTGGACCAGATTGTGGAGTCTGGAGGCAGGAAAAGGAACTGATTAATCTCTCCAGGTCCTTCCCAGCCCAAACAGGAGACATCAGAAAAACTGCTTTGCAATTAGGTTGGTGGCTCATCTTGTAGTACTGTATATCAAATAATACAAAGCCAACAGGCTCTTATTTCCTTGGCCTCTTTCTCTAAACCCTCCCTCCTGGGCCCTCCTCTAGGAAACCCTCCAGGATTAAGCAATGTCCCTCATGGCTCCTTACATCTGGTCAGCTCCCCAACAGGTCTGGACTCTATACACCTAGCAGATTGTGAGTACACCCTGTGTAAGCCTTGAGGAATAGAAGCTAGACCACAAGAAAGACTTGCTGACAGGCAAGGATAGAAGTCTAAACTACATCTTCCCTGGGGATTCTCAGGGTTCACACAGCTTCTATTTGGCTATTAGAGAGGACTACCCTTTGTGGAGGTAGGAGGATGGATGAAATGATCTCCCCTCTCCCCCAATCCAGCAGTGGGAAACCTCCCCTCATTTGATGGGCTCTATTTTTAGGACTTCCTTAGGCTCTAGCTGGAGAAACCGTTTAGTCATCAGGGTGTTTATTTTCCGGCTGTTTCCGTCGGGAAAGCAGAATGTTGAGACTGGAGAGATCAGTGGATGCTGGAAAAGGCTTTACAGGAAGGGGCCTGGGAAAACTAACCTGGACAGGACATTGCAGCTGAAAATAAATAAGGAAAGGGTATAGGGAAGCCCAGCAGGGGACTGGAAGGATAGATGCCCTGCCTCTTGGTCCTTCTATCTATAATCTTACTTTGAAGCTCTTCAAACACTCCAGCCCTCCCTCATGCCCAGACTTAATCTGTTATTCTTCTTAAGCTATAGAAACAACCCACAAGGCCAATTCAGTGTTGAAAGCAAAAGACATAGGTATTTTCTCTTCCCTTCACTCCCCCTCCCCCCCTCCAACTTTGTACCAGCTCTTAGCCTCACCCTTTAAAAGACCTGCAGGGTGAGCATCCCGCTAACTAAAGATCTAACCAATCCTGAGCCAGGCTGGTACCCCTCCAAGGATGTTATTGGCTGCTGGGTCCTCCCCAGCTTGGAATGTGGGGCCCAGAACAAAGGAATGAGGAAGGAAGGTGAGTCACCTGGGCCGGCTATTAAAGGGCCAGGAGCCAGAGGATGACTGATGATGTCACAGGAGGGGAGGGATATAATCCCTGGGGGTCCAGAACTGAAGAAACAGCTAGGAAAAGCATTTGATCTTGGAAGATGAAGTTCTGAAGGGAGATATTCAGGACCTCACTGAGTTCCATGCAGGGCATATTGAGGAGGGGCAGACAGAACTGGAGCAGGAAGGGAGGTTATACAGCACTGCGACTTTATGGAAGGGAAGCAAGTAGTAGCTTATATTTTCTTCTGGACTTCATCTCCACAGACAAACAAACAAAAGAGTAGGGGGTGATATTATAATAGGAAGGATTCAGATTAGGCAGTAGGGAGGACGTCTTGGCGGGGCCCCCTCTAAACTCAAGATGCAAGACTGTACTTCCAACCATCAACCCCAAGGCCCACAACTGCCTCACCAAGTCCTCAGTTCAGAATATTCCTGGAAGCTCTGACACCAAGGTCTTGTTTCCTCCAGGGGATAAAGACTGTGATTTCAATAGTATAAGATTAGAATAAGGGAACTACCTCTACTAATGCAAGTCAGCATCTTCTTTGCAATTTATGGGTGTAGGGTCACATAGTACATTGAACCCATGTCTTCTAGGATCTGAAGCCTCTAACACTTCCTCTCACTTGTAGATCTTATAGGATCACAGGATTTAAAGCTAGAAGAGACTTTGAAGATCCAGCTCAACCCTTTTGCTTTTTCAGATGAAAAAACTGAGGCCCTGAGAGATAAAATTAATCTCTCCTAAATTTTAGAAAGTGTGGAGCTGAGATTTGAATCCAGGTTTTCTGATTCCAAATCCATTACTCTTTCCACTATATTAGAGTGCTTTTCTGGGCCTCCATTTTCTTATTTGTAAAATGAGGTTGGTCAAGATGATTTCAGGTCTTTTCCAGCTGAGGGGTGTGTGTGTGTGTGTGTGTGTGTGTGTGTGTGTGTTTGTGTGTGTGTGTGTGATTTAATTATCAAATTAGTGCTGACACCCTGGGAGACCTGGTACTCAGTTTCTCCTTCCATCCCTTTGAGAAAGAACACCCTAACCTCTCAAGAATATTTCCAAGGCCTCTGAGAGATTAAATCCTTCGAAATTTCTATTGTGGTTAACAAGGTGGTGGCTCCTTCCAAAAAAAATGCTGCCTAGCATACCTAGCCCATTAGAAAGAAATGCCCCAGTGCTAAGGCAAAGGCTTTGCCTCCCTCTACAATGGCCACAGACTAGGATCATAGGATCAGAGACAGAGAGCTAGAAGAAAACTTAGAGGCCCAACCCCTTTTACGGGTGAGGAAACCAAGCCCAGAGAGGTTATTACTTGCCCAAGGTCATATAGCTAGTAGGTGGTAGACCAGGGATTCATACCTAAGCCCTCTGACTTTATACATATCATTATTTCCATCAAAACATACTCCCTTTCAAAGGAGTCTGGGGGTGGGGGTGGCATGAGATCATTTTGCACAGCTCCTTGTCTCCATGCTCCGTGTAGATCTAATACATCTAAAATAATAATAGCCGATTTCACTGGCTAGATTAACATCCATATCAGTATAGCCCAGGAGAAGTTTACTTTCTCTTCCTTGGCGTCAAGCACATTGGAAAGCCCTTTCTTCTGCTATGGCAATGGCTCACACTTAGCCTTCTGCCTCCTACTCCCTCTTCACTGCCTTCTGGAGAATACTGTATATCCTTTTTCCTCTCTGGATCTAGCCTGACTGACATTCCCCAACTCTGCTGCCCTGCATATTGGAGACTCTTCTCTCTCACCCCCTCCACCATTGTCCTAGCTGAGGCCACCTTCAGCTCTCCAGTACCCCACCCCCATCCCATCTGTCTGCTTTGGATGAAGAGGTGTGTCGTGTTCCTGTGTGTCTGTCTGTGTGTATACATCTATGTGTATGCATGATTATACATCTTCATAGCTAGTATCCTTTTGAGGAGAGAATACTGGACCAAGAGTGAGAAGGCTTGGGTTGAAGTCCCAGCTCTGCCATTTACTGGATTTTGACCCTTCCCCTTTCTGGGCCTCAGTTTCCTGATCTGTAAGATGAGGATAATACTTAGATTACAAGGAACCACTTAGAGTACTAGGAGTGCAGTAACCATCTTTGTGCATGGCTCTCCTAGGCAGTCTTCTGAAGCCTATGGACCCCTTCTCAAAATATATTTATTTAAAAAACTCATAATGGAAGGAAATGCTAAATTTTAGAGATTAGTGAAAATAAAGATGC